TCAAATATGCACGGACGCATCGTTTCCTGGGCATAATAATCGACAGAAGTCTTTCGTGGAGCCCACATTGTGCGTACTTGAAGAATAGACTGCTATCTATTGTGCATATCATGAAATTCTTGTGCGGTAAAGCATGGGGAACTTCTGTGGCCTCCATGCTACAGCTGTACAGGGCCCTATTTCTGGGTCTATTGCGCTACAGCTTGCCGGTACTGACTAACACTTGCAAATCGAATACTCATTCATTGGAGAGTTTGCAGGGTCAGGCACTGCGTATCTGCCTAGGACTGCCCCGATGCGCTTCTACTTATGCCACAATCATGCTTGCCAAAGACGATGCGGTCAGGACATATATAGTTGTGGATTGCCTCAGAGCGCACATTCGACATGCTAGCCGTGTCCCCGACCACCACTTGGCCCTTCTACCTTCCGGAAGACCACGTGCTACGTTTTCAGACGTCATAGCCAAGCACCTAAACAGCATTCCATCAGGATATACGCCAGCTGCGAGAAGGGCTTGTCCTTTGTGGTGCCTCGACCAGCCGCAAGTACGTCTAGAAATTCCGGGAATCAAAAAGAAAAGCAGTCACTCGAGATTAGCATTGAAGCAAGCAACACTGCTATTATTACATGAGTTGTACTTAGACCGAACGCAGATATACACTGATGGGTCCGTCTCATCCAGCAGCTCATCAGGTGCCGCTGTGATTCCGGCTGCAGAAATGACAATCAAGTTTAAGTTGTCGCATATGACTACATCTACGGCATAATAGCTTGCTGCTATAAGGGCTGCTTTACAATATCTCGTTCAAAAACGTCCAGAAAAATGGGTCATATTCTGTGATTCGAAGGCAGCGCTTCAGAGTTTGCAGTCTGCCATGCGTAGGAGGAGTCATGACCAACTGGTACAAGAAATAAGACATTGCCATCATGAAGCTCTTGCACGAGGGCATGATATTATATATCAATGGCTGCCTGGACATATCGGTATTGCCAGAAATCAATTAGCCGATGATGCAGCCCACTCAGCCCATGAAGAAACCCGTGTAGTCCCGATTCCTCTATCAAGGAATGATGCAGCAAGACAACTTTACCTGCTGGCTCGAGATCTCACACGCACGTTCTGGTCGTCTACCAGCTTCCAAAGGTGTCAATTTTATGAACTGGATCTTTCGCTCAAGCTAAAGCTACCATCACAACTTTCCCGCTCCGATGCGACACTGTTATGCCGCCTTTGGTTGGGTGTTGCATTTACAAAGGTGTACTCCTTTCGCATTGGTATGGCAAACACTCCTACATGCGACTACTGCGGAGCTGAAGAGACCATCGAACTCGTCTTGTGCAGTTGCGCTTGCTACGACACACAGCGATGCCAGCTCCGGATGGTTTTGAATCGTCTTGACCCCGGACCATTTTGTGTGCAGAAGATACTAGGACCTTGGGCATCTGCCTCAGTTGCGCAGAAAGCAACAAAAGCACTGCTACTTTATCTCAAGTCAACAAACCTGAGCGACCGCCTGTAGACTGTGTGTGCTCCCCGAGTGTGCTCGTGATTGTGTGTACCTTCTCATCTTTCTGCAACCTCTTTTCTCCCCTTTATCCCTTCCCCAGTGCAGGGTAGCAAACCGGATGTGCGTCTGGTTAACCTCCCTGCCTTTCCTTGCATCTTTATTTTTCTCTAGGCTGCAGCTAAATCTTTTTCATCTGATCTCGCGAAACTGTAAAACGCTAGTGTATGGGAATACGGCTGCCTCCGGGAAAAGAAGCAGGGTTCGTACAGTGATATTCGTACAATGATACAGCGTGTAAAAGGGTAAACGAGTTGTTCGCCGATGCTTTCTGAAACAGAGCACGCGCTGGCGTGTGCCAGCACTCTGGACCACGTCTTTATTTCAAAGTTCACAGATTGCGTATCGAGCCACCCAACCTCCTACCTGAGTATTCCTTCATACTCATTTGTCCAGCAAAAGAAAGACAGGGTTTTGTTTCCGATTGAAGAGCACTCGACAGTATATGCATCGAACGTGGAGTGATGTTACAGCATGCACCCTCCGTGCGATGAAGATGGGCAGCTTCTTTCATCTATGCTTCAGCAGTGTTCTTCGCTATGACGCGCGTGAGATTTTATCTGTGGGAACAGCATACAGTGAGCGTACAAACGTAATTTATTTGTACTTTATACGAAACATGACGGGGATGATGAAAGCCTGTAGACAGTGTGCATATGGTTTTTCTTGCAATAAAAAATATACAAATACCGTCGAAGCGGGGTGGCCCTTGTTATGGAGAGCTGCGTTGTCTGTGAAGAATTCATCCGTTGGGAGAAGGAAATCATTCGGTGCCTTTTCCTCTGGTTTTGTTCTCGATTACACTGCACTACACTTTCTTCACTACAACTCTTACAGGCACTTCGACATTTATGTCTTCATAAAGAACGTGTGTAATGTGAGCGCTAAGCGTTGAACCCTTCAGGATTTCGAAATTCTCGGCTACACTCTTCTTCTTTCCACATGCGCAATCGAAAACTAACAAAATGCACCAAAAATAAAAGTTCATCGCGTATGATAATCCTGTGAGACATGACGAAGAACGGGGGTGGCGGGTGGTGAATGCATGGCAAAGCAGGGTAAAGAACAATTTACAACTCATATTTCTAGTATGTTGACCATTTCAGAGTACGCGCCATATTTATGGCACGTGAATAACACGCTCGACTGTGTATCTTCAGAATCTGTTTTATGGCCTTATACACATAGACAGCGCATGAAACATGGAAACAAGAGATTAGTCACGACACCACAAATTCCGCTCTCAGAAATCCTAAAACCGCAGAAAAACTGGTCAAGTAATGTATCTTGTGCCCAGATTCCGCGCTCGTGTAAAATCAAAACAAGTGGCGGTGCGCCGAAAAAAAAATCACAGCTTTTCCGCAAAGGTGAAGCAATGAACGCGATAGCAACAATTTGACAAGCAACGCGCAGAATGGAAAGCAGATCAAACCGTGCCTCGTGTTTCTCGCGCACAAATTACTCGCGAAACCTACTCAAAGGTACGGATGCACGCGAACAAGCGTCTCACTTGTTACTTCGCTGAGTCTGAAAAGCGTGCGCTTTTCACGAACAGAGACTGCATTATATGCAGCGACTTTTGTGCGCCCGTTAATTACAGCAGAATCGTTCCAAGTAAAGCGCGAGGCCAGCCAAGGCGCACGATCCTCCCCTTCTCGCCACTGCGAGATACGAGCGCGCGAGGGAGTGTCGCTCCCCTTCACTAGGCCGGGCAAAGTACACGTAGGAGATCAGAGCGGCCACCACTGCGCGATGTGGCGACGTGCGCTCATGGCGCCTTTTTTCTGGTAATGCCGAAAACACACCAGCGGTAAGTGGAGGATATGAAGAGCTTGCCGTTTGAACGACATTGAACGTTCTCCGGGGTGGCTCAGTGGTTGACGCCTCGCTTTCACGACGCAGAGGTCCCACGTTCGGTTCCGCGCGCCGTACTGCTTTTTTTTCTGGATTTGTTTTTCTTTCTTGAGTTTTCATATATATAGATACGTAAACATATCCGGCGCATGACGTCGACGCCGACGCTGGCGTCAAAACCCAGACGAGAATGGCCTTTCAATTGCTATCGCAATAAAATATGGTCCGGCGGCGGCGGCGGCGTGATCTCTCTCAGAACTTCGGCGGCGGCGCGAACGGCGTGAGCGAAAATGGGGGGTGGCGGCGGCGACGTGCGGCAGCGCACATCTCTACGTATACGCTGCCGCGATCATGTCCCCCACCTGTTAGAACACTTCCTGCGCGTAAGGTGATTTGCGCTGCCTCCGTGACCAAGCAACGATGTCGCCTGATGACGTCGTCATGGGAAGTCATAGCCATATGTCATTGCGACGGGACATATCATGGCAATTTGTGACGTCATATGATGATTACAAACCCTAGTGATGATACCTTTTTTGCATCACTCGACCGCGTGGACACCTACGGCGCTGACGGTGAATTTTCGCAGTTGGCGGGGCATATGAGCCTTCCACCTCAATATTTTATTCGCAACGTACGTTGGCACTCTTTTGCGATGAAGCCTTGTGCATTAAAGACACACTTTAGTCATTAAACGTGAAGGACGCTGACTCACATTAAAAGAACTCTTCGGTGAGTTGGCACGATAACTTGTTTATCCGCAAGAGTCTCCTTTGCAGAGTGACAACGTGCTTCATTCCGTAAGTCATCGGGTTTTGTTGACACAAAGGTCATTGCGATTTGAAGCATTTGAAGTCGTAGTGATTTTGAGCGTTTGAAATATGACTACAGTTCGTGTTTCCATTTTTTTTTACTCTGGCGCTTTAGACCAGGATAATATTCGATTACTTATTAGAAAGTATGGAACATTCGCAGAAACCCTCACTTCGAGTTGGAAGACAGTGTTCTCAGTCTCCCTTTGTTCGTTCGCATTCTCTGCTTTCGCATGCGCTGTTAACACTTCCTTTTGAATACACACCAACATGTCCAGGCTTTGACTCTTGCGAATCTTCGTATTAGTGCATGAAGGCCTTAATCGTTCCGTTGAGACGAATAATTCCAACAAAGGCGTCATTATCAGAGTGAGAGCATAGGTGAATCTTCTGTCGTAAAGAAGCCAGTGGAAAGTTCGTCGAGAAGGAAGCAGATTTTTTTTTTTTTTTTTTTGCAGATAAGCTGTTTGAATTTTTGTGGCCTAAAGTCTGTGTTCGGTTGCTTAGTATTAAGAACACAGTGAAGCTAATGCTCGAGCTCTTCTACAACTGAGTATATTAAACTTACAAAAAAAAGCTTTGACAAAATGGTTTGCCTTAGCCTTATTGTATTTTCTTCTTAAACTTCTAAAAAGATTTATAGGACAAGACTCAATGGTATGAGTGCATGTATGACATGTATATGATGTTTAATTAAACAAAACAGCAAGAGAAATGTAAGTTTTGTTTGATTGGACTTTTCTTACCTTGTCTCTATTTTCTACAGGCCTTTTCTATTCTGTCAAGAAGTCTGATTTCATCAGACACATTATTCAGCAGCTTGAGTACAGCGCCCAGGATATGGCTGCGCAGACAGAAAAGGTGAGTTATTCAACATATAACACTTTTCGAATGGATTAACGCTACAAAAATATTACAACATATGTCTCATAATATTGTGTACACATTGAGTATCCCTTGTGAAAGCACCTCAGTCCGTATTAAAAAGGCGTCTTACGCTAAACTTTGTCGTGAGAGAATAATTAAGCCAATTATCGTGTCGGAAATATCATTAACCACAGCAGCTGACCAATGGGAACTGAATTTACGAAATAAAAGTTTGTGCACTTGGCCCCACCTTTCTATGCATTGCATGAATCATTTCCCATGTGGTTCACTTAGTATGCAACCGTATCGAAATCCGACACAAATTTTTTTGTGTTTTCATATATCTTGCATAAAAAACGCTGTTTGACTATATGAAAACACAATATTCGCACACAATTGTTATGACTTGAAGTATAAAGGAAAACTGAGCTAGTTGGTACTAGCGCATTGTCTGTTATATGCGGTATTCTACAATTTCAGTGTGATGAGTTCACAAAGCGTAATTTTTATGGTATAAGATAAGCTTGCTACTCATTAACAATCTATTATACGCTAAAACGGAACCATTCATAGCTCTTTCATAAATTATTCGTCCACTGATGTATGCTGAGATCGTTGAGATAATAGTTCCTTTAAAACGGGTGGCGATACGGCAGTATCCGTAGCAGGAATCACCAAATGTTTTTGAACAAAGTACCTATTGGACTTTAAGGGGACCAAAAGGGGGATGGAAGGGTGGAGAAGTGAGATGAGAAGAGGCCTCTAGGTCGCCATCACTGGATACGTCAATTACTGCCCGAAGCACCACTACCCGAATAACACTTTTGTGGCGACATCTGCTTTTTGCCGCATTCTCACCGTTTCGCTCGCTGTGACCGGTGGCCGCACCGCTCGCCGCGTCATCTGGCATGACGTCAAAGAGCCTGGGAAACTACGCTGCAACTGCGTTTCCAGTTGAAAGTTAGCGTTGTGTGTGCGTTTTCTAATATATCCGCGTTCAGTCGCACTGTTCAAACTTGACCTAGGAGGAGCCGCTGTTGCATCGTACAATATTCAGTCAATCGAGTGACGCAGGCGGCGCCATGTAGCCATGCTCCGAAGCTGTCACACGGTGATATAACTGCGACGCAGTTCGGTCTCTCAGTAGTCATAAGCCAATAAACGCGTCTTCACGCTCTGCGACGCTGACGTAAACGCTCGCGACATAACCGTCTCGTCCGCCATTTCGACCTTCCGCTGCGCCGCTTTTAGTCGCTGGAATGATCAAATAAGAGGAAGGGCTCGGCGGGATTCATCGGTAGATATGAAAAGTGAGTCGGAGAGACTGAAACAAGCCGGACTTCGTGGTTGAAAAGAAACGAAAGAGAGGCCGCGAGCCGAAGAGACAGGGCAAGAACAAGCTGCACGCCTCGAGAAGCCCAATCGTGCAGAGAAGCAAGCTGAACAAAAAGGCAGATTTAGTTGGGCGTCCATAGCAGCTCGGCGGACGCAGCCTGCAAGCCATTTCCTATGGCAGGTTGCGTTCGCAAAGCTGTTGTGCATGGTCAACTTAATTTGTTCATTAAAATTAAGTGTACATTTCGCTACGCACACCCAGGCATAACTGAGTTGCCATTTTTTTTTAACCTCACAGGTCTTTTTTCCTGAACTCTTTTTTCACAGTCGTACGCTTTTTTTTTCGTCACTATACGGGGAAGTTTCTGCGCGTAACGGAAACTACGAGTCGACGCCGGCTGCATAAAACAAAACAAACGACAAAACAAGATGAAAAGCAACACTTATTACTTTGTAATATTTGTTGCTTGGCGAGGTGGCTGACTTCGAGGTAATACGTGCTCGCTCGAACAGGAAAACTAAATAGTGTGAAAAAAAGCCCATTTAGCAAAATTTTGCTCTCTGTTTTTTTTTTTTTTTTTTGCTGTGGCTATTCGTTTTTCTGTTTCGACTGAAGTGAGTAACTTACTATTCTACGAGTCTGCTGCACTTAGTAATCGACAAGGACGTGTTTTGTGCGCGCGAAACCTTTATTTTCAAGGCGAGAAGATTGCCTTGAGGCGAGTACAGTTTATGCTTGCTCAAGGAGCGCCCTCCGGAAGCCCCCCACGACATGAAATTATTTATAGGATGGACAGTCATAAAACAAACGAAAGTACGTGGAAAAAGGTCAGCTGTGTTGGTTATGCATGATCATGCACGTGTGTGTTGAAAAAATGGTTGTCACTGATAATGTGCTTCTGTCGCAGAAGTCGATGCGTCATCGAAAACGCATTCTCAGGGTTGCAACAGCAACACCACTATAATAATAATAATAATAATAATAATAATAATAATAATAATAATATAATAATAATAATAATAATAATAATAATAACTGTTGGGGTAATGTGTGCCATGACCACAATATAATTACGAAAGATGCCGTAGGCGAGCGTTCCGAAAATTTCAGCCCCCTGGGGGTTCTCTATCGGGCACTTAAATCTATATACACTGGCCTCAAGTATATTCGCCTCCATCGAAAACGCGACCACCATGGCCTGGATTGAGCCTTCGACCTCTGCGAGTCAGCAGCCAAGCACCATGGTGGCTAAAGGAGAAGGAACAGCTTCATTGCGAATCGGCAAAACTGTTGGAGATTAGCTCCCTCTATATAAGACGACCCGAAGCACATGCACCCTAGTATATATCCCCGTCTATTCAAACTGCTTGGAGTTGGTCATTTGAGTTTGACCTAAGCACCATGCTTTTTTTTTACGAAGACCTCGGAAAATGAGACCACAAAATAGGCAGACACAAATGACATCGTAGCCTAGCATACGAGATTTTTCAGGGGAAATTTTTTTTCACTCTTAAAGCTGAATAACAAGCATGAGTGCATGCTCATTTTCTAACATACTGATAAATGCGTAAAAAGCACAACAATCCTATAAACCTTGTCTAATACACGCAAGTGCTCGGAATGCCCAAGTTATTCTTGATTAAGCATGCATATTTTTTTTATTAGACAAGGCAATAGAAGACCAACACATTTGCGTCCTGTTCTCCAAATGTGGAAGGCTTCCACCACTTCTCTTATTTTTACGCGCATCCTTTGGCGCTGTTAGAGATTCGTGTAGATTATGTGATCGAAGTCCGCCATTTACAACACCTGCTTTATTCTGTATCCAAATGCGGGTAACAAGTATGACGTGCCACTGGGTTCGGCGCCATGTATACCGCAGGCGCCAAAACGTCGCCTGTGGTATACGTTTAATGAAGAGCATGCAGGGAGCTCTCTCTAACTACAGTGGTCGGTTATCTCTTTAAATATTAACCACAGGATCTTTCTCTTCGTTCTCTGCGGCCACTTTTCGCCCGCTCATTATCGCAGACCTCAAAAAAGCTTGTGCGAAGGCTTTTTTTTTTCTGGGAATTCAAGAGCGTGCGTAGGAACGTCTCGCCAATAAAATACGAAATAAACGCCACGTGTCGTGTTATGTCGTCCTTAGCACCACTGAGGAAGCTGCCGCCGAGTAAAGGATAAAGAAAACCTGCAGCATTTGGCTTCGCTATCGATTGTCTTTCCTCTATTACCTCACCATTTCTTCTCCAGGACAGGAGCAAATCAGTATGATACTTTTCTTTGTCGCAGTTCATTTAGCGTCAAGTTTCTGCCTTGAGTAACGTTTAAAGGAGGTTCCGTAATGTCTACAAGCGCTGCCACTCACATCACTAACATGATGCGTTTGTTTTTTTAAACGAGGTTTGCTCAAAGCTTGAACTCACAGTAATGAAACATATCATTAACTTTTGACATGTTGAAAACCCCTGGGGCTGTGTTAGTAGGCATTGCCTATTGTTTAACAGTTATCTACGAGATGGAGTAAAGTGCGGATGTTATTGTATAAAGCTCGCTTTACTTTTACCTGCATTTGGATGTTGAGTCTGACTTCCTTTCAAAATGGCAGTTGATTTATCAGTATTCTGTGCTTCATGCAGTATAGAAAATCAATCGCACAAGCAAGGTAAAGTAGTTTGTGTCCTTTTCCGGAAATAAGGCCTGTTTCCTTCGCATTTTCTCTGTGTGACACCATGCTGTGTAGTCTCGAGCTGACTATTCATCCTTCTATTTCTTACTCCTCTTCTTCTCTATCTCTTTCTTTTCTATTATTCTCCCTTTCTCCCACCCCAAGTGTTGGGTAGCCAACCGAGCCAAGCTTGGTTAACCTCCCTGCCTTTCCTCTCTATTTATCTCTCTCTCTCTCTCTCCCTCTCTCCCTCTCTTTGCATTTTTGCGTTTTTGTAAAGTTTGAGTACATAGTTTCGATTACGTGGATGCCCTTTTTTCCCACACCTACGTTTGTTTTCGTCATTGCAGCTCGGCCGGGTGATAGAGATGCACAGCTTCATATTCGACCTTGAAAACTTCAACCTAAAACAGATTGCGTGGAAACCAGGTGAGTTGCGTCAAAGTAACACCCGTTCTTTTAGCTGCGTCAAAGAACGAATCTCGGTGGTTTGAATATATTCTGACTCTGGATTCCAAATAACATGAAACGCGCAGGCAATGAGTAGAATAATTTTTTGTCAATATTTGAGACGTAAGATGCAGAAATTCTGTTACTGTGACGAAAAAAAAAAAGCTGCATTGCCAAAGAAAGAAAGAAAGAAAGAAAGAAAGAAAAAAAGAAAGAAAGAAAGAAAGAAAGAAGAAAAGAAGAAAAGAAAGAAAGAAAGAAAGAAAGAGAGAAAGAAAGAAGGAAAGAAAGAAAGAAAGAAAGAAAGAAAGAAAGAAAGAAAGAAAGAAAGAAAGAAAGAAAGAAAGAAAGAAAGAAAGAAAGAAAGAAAGAAAGAAAGAAAAACGTTTCTCTATTTTTTTACCTAACATCGTGTTTTTCTATAGACAGTATATATAATGAGTATCTAAAGCAGACAGCTGTTGCAGAAATAGATGGCAGCATGAAACGATGAGCACTGGTAGAACTAGAAGTACCAGTGAAGCTTGATCAATTTGACTAACAAAGGGTCCTGACGAATGCGAGTTTCTTTGCCTCGAACCAGTGAGAGTACTTCTTTTAACCATCATAAAATATACAATTCTGCAAATATCGTTCCCATAAAAGAAGCCCCTATTACCCTCAAGAGGAATACACCCCTTACAAAACGAAGGCTGGTCCCTCTAATCTCTATATATCTCACTTTTCTAGGCCTGCTTTAATCTTACGACTGTGAACATTCTAACTTTTTGTCACGTTACTTCATTCTCTACTGTTGCATAGAGCTCGTCCCTTTCATTGGCAACAGTTGTGTCGCTCTTGTTCAGTGCTTCTCAAATGGGTATGCTTCGTCGCATAACAGACCTGCACTGCGGCGAAAAACACTTGTTGTCCCTTATTCACGAGAAGGCTACAAAGGTTTTGTTTTGTTGCAGCTTTACGCGGGCATCCTTTTTCTAGACATTGATAGTGTATGTGCTAAATAGTTAGACACAGTTTGAATTCGACTGCAGACCGCACAGTTTATTGACGAGCTGTCAAGACCGAATTTGACGGCTTACAATTATTTGCCAGGGAGATATAAAAGGCACCTATTTCACGCTGCATCTTGCGTTAATTTGTGACCCCCCCCCCCTTTTTTTTGTCAGTGCAAGGCTTCTCCCATCACCTGTACCCTGGTTCAGAACATTCATGGCCGAGAATCACAGCTCGAATAAATATCTGGTTATACGTCCTCGCGTTGCATTACCCAACTACTTCCCTTTTCCCCCTCTTAATGCGAAGCAGAATATTTGTTACGCCCCTTTGCTCGCTGATGCACACTATCATCTAACATTTCCTGAATTTCACGTCTTGCACATTTCTTTCATCCTTCAGTGACCAGTCTTTAATAATAATAGGATTATATGAGGTCCGACGTTCCGAAACCATGGTATGTTTGTGGGAGACCACGATATGTTTGAAAACCATATATGTTTGTGAGCGTAGTGGAGGCCTGTGAAAATTTCGACCATGGAGTGTTCTTTAACATGCACTGACATTAACGTGCACTGATGGGCCTCTACTACTTCGACACCATCGAACTGCGACTGCCTCGACTGGGTTCAAACCCTTGGCCTTCGGGTCAGCAGCCGAGCACCCTAACCAATGTACCATCGAGGAGGGCGGGGCCAGTTTTTAACATGTTGCTCTGCTTGTTGGTCCTCGTGTTTCTGCAGATTATATCGATAGAGATAGAAAAAGCTTCGCTATTCTTTGCGAAAAGAGGCAGGAGCAGCTTGTTAACATTTTATGATATACCTGCACTGCTGCAGCGTGCACTTTCTCCAGCCCACTTTCATTCAGAATCAAGTTCCCGCGATCAAAGTTACCTTTGATTAATTTACCAGTTTGAACAAGTGCAAGCGACCGTCAGAGGGATCTCCTTATTGAAACGTGCGCAACATTTCTCTTTCAGCTCTCGATATGATCATCAATCTGGTCACAATGTATGAAGACCACTACCCCGAAATGCTAAAGAAGGCCTACGTCATAAATGGTGAGAAATTTCGAGTTGTTTTGTGACCACTTATATACATTCTGATGGATATATGCTATGTATAAGTAAATTTTAGCGCGGAGTAAATGCGGCAAAGAAATTTTCGTGCTTTGAGCTGCACGGGTGGTTAAATGGAGCACTCTTGTCACTTCGCAGCCATATTCTATTTTTATTCACGACCTTCCTCTCTATTCTGCGATGTGACAGCTGGTTTCTGCAGACGAAGTGTACTTCGTGATAACAACCTGCTTGTTTCCGCTTTTTTTTTTTGCAATCAACATTTCATCAAGATAATAATGCATTAAAGGGTCGTTAAATCAGCATTAAAATATGATAAACAAACACGTGAAAGCCTGCGTATAGCTATTCCTGTTTGAAGGCGTTACAAAAATAACGTATTTCTTACAATCTTACAAATTACACGTCTTTTTTTTTTCAATTAGTGCAAAATGCCAGATGACTTGATTACGAAAACTGGCTCACGCTCTAACCCTTGGTCTATGTCTTTGATCTCTTAAAAAAAATTAAAGTACATTTATAGTACTTTAAGTAAAAAATGAGAGGGAAAGAACAGCTAAGACAAAAAAAGAAGAAAAAATGACAAATAAAGAGTGGGGAAAATCCAGAACGTTCCAGGGTTCACTGTGCTATGCGATTGGCGTCTTGATTGTGATTTTTCTAAGAAGTATTGTGGTCAGTGTGTTTGGGTGGCAATTCTTTTATTGTAGACAGTGGCTGCTTTTTTGTCAATTTTTTTCTTTTTCTTTTCTCTAGGCCGTTCTTTCTCTCTCATATTTTTTACTGGTGTCAGCGAGGGTCTACAAATACTGTTTCGATCATATGTTATAATCGTCGTCGAGCATGGTCTGAGTGATTGATATATGTCACCGAATCTCCAACTCCTCTAATAGCTTCCTGTACGCGATGCCTATTTCAGCTCCCAAGATCTATCCCATCATATACAACATGGTGAAGCCATTCCTCAGCGAAGAGACGGCGAAGAAGATACACGTGTTCGGCAAAGGTAAAGTAAACGCACAGTTAATTGTGCCCATGCCAAAAGTGTTTTCACTCTTTGCGGTATTCGTTTGCAGCGCTCCTCAACAATCTTGTCCTTCGGTTTGATAAAACCATTTTTACTGCACACAACAGGAAATGCGGAGTACTCATGCGACTATATGAAGCCGCTGAGTGCTGAAACTTTTGTATTAGGTGAAACCGCTCGTTGCGCTTTAAATTATCTGACGCAGCTGCTTGAAAGTTATGTTACATAAAGCTTATTAAACCTATTTCTCGCGATCGTCTCACGCAGTATCATAAAATTCACTCACAACGAAGAGCGAAGAGAGAATTAAACTTTTATTTGAGAACAGGTGCGCGTTCTCTTCGCCCAGAGGTGGTTGAAAAGACTAAAGCTTTGTTGGTCCCCCTCACTATTCTGATCAGACACATTAATAACCATGTCTAACGTCATGGCTGTGAATGTGTGGGATTTGTTACGTAGAAATCGGTCTTTGAAGCTGATAGGCAATGCACGAAATTGGATGCTGAACAAAACAAAAAAGAACCCCGTTGCAAGCACGCCACCTTCAGCAACACCACATACAATTTGCTCACGCTTTTCATATATTATATAGCGCTCGTGGTCCACGCGTACATTTTTACTTTGAACATTTATGGCGCCGGTAGTTTGATTGCATTTAAGATGACCCGGGATACGGTGACGCAATCACTGGGAAGTTAGGTGTAGGCTATCGCGATCTCGCGCCAAGGTTTACTATAGTGTTGGCACCTCGTCAGGCATCCAGCGAAAGCGGGTCATTGTCGACACGCTGGCGCAACTGAGCACAGCAAAATCCTTGAGAGGGAGCGTGCCCTAACACTCTATACTTAGGCTCGCAATATAGCCCTTGGATGAGAGCTACTGATAAGCTAACATGCAGCGGTCTTGACCTAGTCCCCTTATCGCATTGCGTGGTCGCTTATGTTACGCCAAAAAAAAAAAAACGACTTTCTACGAAAGAGGCCAAGAACTACTGGTCATGCACTGCATTGACTTGTGTGCAGTGTATGCATCTCGCCAGCAGCAGTCGCTGATTCGAGACTGCATATTGCCACGGGCATGGAATGAGACAGCGCTACACCATAGCGTGTATGTGTGCACCGGAAGAAAGCACAAGAAATTAAAGAATACTATCAGGTATTCATTCATCGTATTCTTTACTTTCTTGTCTTTTCTTCCGGTGCACAAATACGTCATGTTTCTAGTGGCCAATTCAGATCTACCACCAGTGTGTCCGTAGACAGATGTCGTGCGTGAGAAGTGAGTTTATTTTATTTCTTTCTGATACAGAAAGAGGAGTAAGATCTAAAGGCCGTATTGCCTGACAGAGGCTCCTACTCCCATGCGCATTCGGCATGCGTGTACATGTTTGCATGCGATGCGAGTATACAAACAATAGAGCAACCAGAAAAATCAAAACATGCATGTACATAATTGTCACTGCAAATAAAACATTACAGGTAGACATCATACATGAAAACTCTTCATGAAAACAAACATATCATACAGACACTCCAAGAATATTTACCTATACGCATGTGTCGTTCATAATAACGTGACAATATATTTGAGGCCTCATGCTGCAAGAATCTGTTTTGCGTTCTGGCAAAAATAGATGTTCTAGCAATAACCAACCAGAAATCACGTTCAGTTCAATTCTTCATAATGATAAATTCCAAATCAGTGAACGTCGGTGAGGTTCGAGTAGTTCAAGACCTTCAGTCACTCAGCGCGAAGCTTGCAGCTTTACTGTTTTGTGCTTGGTAGACAGAGACCATTTCACGCTGTATGCAGTGGTAATGAAGCGACAGCGATTATGGTCAGTTTTATCAGCATACTTGCCAAATATGGAGCCGGCAATCTATTCTTATAGCTTGCTCCTTATCCACTCGAGCCTTGCGCATCCATCCTACCGTCGTATAGCCACGCTCCCTCTAGAGTATAGTGAACAAAAGTATCATATTATAGTTCGCAATAATAATAATAATAATAATAATAATAATAATAATAATAATAATAATAATAATAATAATAATAATAATTGATTGAGTTTAGCGCGCTAAAGCCTTCACTGCCACTGATAGCATAGAGTTTTCTAAAATTAACTAGAGGAGCCTCTCGCGCTGCGATCGTTCAGTTGGTTGGTTGGTTGCGAAACTTTATTGAGGTACTGCAAGGCGCGCGTCAGCGCGCAGCGGGCGACTCCCACGTCGGGATCGTTAGGCCAAGCCTATCGGCCGCTCCGCGGGCCTGCTGGACGGCCCAAAGTTGGTCGGCCAGGAGGGAGCTGCGTAGGGCCGCCTCCCACCTGACCGATGTAGTGTTGGGATTAGTGTACATTGCCTTGCACTCCCAGAGCATGTGTGCCAGCGTGGATACATCCCCACATGCGGTGCAAGCGTCATTGGGAAACACGTCAGGATATATAGCGTGAAGGGATTTCAGGTTAGGGTACGTGTCGGTTTGCAGTAGTCTGAGCGTAAGGGCCCGTGGCCTATTAAGATTTGGATGAGGGAGTAGATATAGTCTCCGCGCGAGGTAAAAATATTTTGTTACTTCGTTGTACGTGGCAGGCGCGTCCCTGTTTTCCGCAACCCCGTTGGCCCCGAATCGTTGCCCGGAACCCGCGCGGTCGGTAAGTGCGCGCGCGGCCTCGTGGGCAGACTCGTTGAGGTTGGGGGGAGCGCCTTGGACCTGTCCAACATGTGCAGGAAACCAAATCAGTACGTGGTGCTTGATGCCGTCGCGGCCACCACTTTGGAGCACGCGCAGGGCTTTTTTGGAGATTACACCGCGCTCGAAAGCGCGAATAGCTGACCTAGAGTCACTATAGATGACCTCCCTTTCACCTTCCAGGATGGCCATGCGATCGTTCAGTGACCATGGAAATTATGGGTATGACATGGACTCACCGATAGTCCTCGTACTTGCAGGCGGCGAATCGCACTTGTGGCTTTGTCTATTGCTGTGCTTCGGTTTCGCTTCAAAGGAACTAATTAACGAACTTTTTTAACTACGTGACCCGATTTGAAATGGTAAGCCCAAACTGAGAATTAAGTGATGAATTGCGCGGCTCCTGAACATTTGCCGATTGCTGTTTCGTGACAAAGCAGCTTCAAGCCATGCGAAGCCAAAAGGAACGTAAAGTACGAAGACTAGACCCATAATTCCCATGTTCGCTGAAGCGCCATGCGTCGCAGCTCCCATAGACCCTAGCGCCAGCATTCCCTCTAGTGCATATATATGAAACTATGCCTGACGGGGCATAGAGTTTCTTGAAAGGGCACGTCTTTGTATGATGGTCGAGGGGATGTAGGGAGGATTCACGGTTGACCAGATTTGACCACTGGACCAAGCTCCTTCATCATTCGCTTCGTGACTATGGCATCATATTTTCTGTCCATTACGTTTCATTTTATCTTTAGCTAGAACACTCTAATCAACAGCTAGAACAAATGCTCCTTATCCTTTTCTCAGCATTGTTGGTTCTTAGAAGAAATGGTTAACGATTTACAGTACTTGGTATACTTGCATCGAACAAACATTCCGCAGAGCTCACGTACCTTGGGAATCGACGTTATGCGAAGCACGCGGAGGGAAGTGACCATGTTGTAATTTTTTTATTGAACGACAGGTTGTGAAATGATGCTAAATATGTGTATAAATGTTGCACGCGCAGACATAAGTTTAAGAGTTGCAGATGTTTATGTAACCAGTTTCTTGCGCTTGCGCAACGATGCCAACTGGAACACACCTATTAGCAATACCAGAAGCTTATATGAAGCGTTGATGTTCACGAGGATGCTGGCCCTGGACACTGCTACATAAATCATTTTCAGTGCATGGCTACGAACCACAATTGATGTTAACCCGACGTGACGGCTGTATAAAAGGACTACATATGTAATGTTTATAAAATTGGGTTGGCAGCACTGCTACCACTATTGAAGTTTCACGAAAATTAGGGTCTATTTCAGAAGTAGCCCCTAGACCTGGAATAGCTCTGTGGTAAAATGCTTCCTTACCACACAGAACGGGGTTCGATTCCTGCTGGAACCCTGATATTTATTCTTTGGATTCGTCGGATCAACATTGCGGGTGTCAAGTTTTTCCCACATGTTACAATTGCCCATGTTCGTTCTCGTTGTTCCTGGGTTGATACAAATTGTCAAAAACCTGTGGCACATAATTACATACCAGTGGCACATACCCGCCCGCGGGTATGTGCCACTGTCTGGCGGGAAGTGTTTGGCGATGTACACGGAGGATTGTTACAATATTTGTGTCTTAACCAGCCCATCATATTCGTCAAACCATCTTACTACCTCCCATACTAAGTTTGGTTCACGCCAAGTTGAGGGGGTGACCACAAGAGCACTCAAACGTAAGTGGATAGAGGGATATATGAATAGATAGATATTATATACGCACATAGACGACACAAATGCTTGCAATATGCAAAGAAATGCTTCGCGTTTCAAACAATCTCTTCAGTTAATTTCTCCCCTTTTCTTATCGTAGTGCACGAAACACTGTCTTGAAATTTTTATTTCTTTCCATAATTTATTACCAAAGTCATAATCAAGGCTACTGGTGGCACGTACTATAGTGCATCTTTGTTCAGTATACGTTCCTGTACTCACTGCATACTTTGAACCAAAGTTTCTCATGACCTCAGCTTTTGAGCACACTGGTTGTGAAACATTCAGTTGCCCCTGTGACGTTTAGGTTCGACTCGACGGGAAAGCGCCGAACGAGGAAAAAAGAACTCCTGTTGGTGGTCACAGAAACAAGAGCTTCCTTGTATTGCAACACTCAAGGCTTACTATACGTATTGCGTAGTTAACATGCTAATGAATCTCTTGCAATCAACGACAAAGACGCTACAAGCCAACGACTGAAACGATGTTGCGAAAGCACTATCCGACCTGCTTAAGTGCAGCTCAACTAGTCTTCTTTTGGGTTGCTTGTATTGTTCGCAATCAATGCTTGGAAGGACGCTTTATTGCAAAAAAGAAAGGCTGCCTCGAGTGCCTCAGGCAGCATTTCACTAACCTTCTTTGATGGAAGGTTATTATGGATCCTGTAGCTCGAGAACCGGTTTCTGGGCATACCGTAGCTAACCTGAGAGAGCCTGCATGGCTGACGGTTGGTCACACCTTGAGAAACAAATATCATCCACTGTTCGTTCCAAGCCCTAAAGCTCCCAGAGTGCTGTAAGGTGCCACAAAGAGGGAGTACAGTAACGGCTGTAATTGTATAACACGATTCAGGCAGCGGGTGTACTTCAAGAGACGATGTCAGAAAAAAATATAGAGACGCACACAGAAAAAATGAAGTCTGTGTAACATCTTAAAAACAGTACAAAATAAAATCGGTGGCACTACGCTTCTAGGGAACAGCGCGCGAGCCATATTGGTCGTCTACTTGACTTGAAGCCTACAGGGCAGGGCTGCGTATAAAAGGGTAAAAAAATGAAGGCACAGCGGAAAAACGCAGAACTATCAACGCAGAGGTTTCATTCAAACCGCATGTACAGATACCCGTTAAATGTGCTGGTCATAATGAATAAACATGACGCCACAATAAATTAGCAAGGTAATCACTGTCAGTGTAATGCAGCAAGACAGATGACCTCGTTCCGCAAGTGTCACTTGTCTTCACGGACCGCTTCGACCGTGTAGTGCGATACAACCTTGGCATTCAAAAGCTCAGGATCACAACAGCCTTTCTCCCAATGTAAAAAGTACATACGATTGTGCGTCACGCGCTTCACATAAGCTATAAGTTCCCTCAGTCTAACGCTCACGCTTGGTAAATGTATAGCACTCACTACACGATACAGAAATTTTGTTCGCTCACTACCCCGCTGTTCCTGGATCCAACGCAACAACAATACACAATTGGCGTGGGTCCGTTGCGCGTATTTCTTCTCTCCGTGTAGCTTCGACGTAATTTTGAATGCTACAAGTAAACTGCAACGCATAGTTCTAATTACCACTTACTAATCCAATGCAACTTATTATTTCAATGCGATGCAGAAACTTTGCTTGTTAAAGAAGAATCTATTCTCTACTTGCGTGGAAATTTGCGCTGATTCAGGTACTCTTTCAGACTAAAAGGATTGCTGGCTGCCTTTGATGTCGGATACCTTTTTTTTAGTTTTTTTCCCATAGTTCCTGCCGTCGATCTTTTAAATGTCTCATACTAATTCACCTTAGTCTTCGAAGATGCGAGTGAGATTGCTACGTTTCTTCATAATAATAATTTCATTGCATCCGTACCGCTTTTCCAACGCAGACAAGTGGAAAGATGCCCTTCTACAAGACATCGCCCCCGAAGAGCTGCCCGTGCACTGGGGCGGAACCATGACGGGACCCGATGGAGATCCGAGGTGTACGCATATCGTAAGTGTCACTGAGAGTCCTACACGTGCGATTTTCCCGCTCATAATGCGGCAGCTCGAGGCACGAACATGACAACTCATGGCTTCGAAGCTTTCGGGCCGTTCCTCCGTCATCTTGTGACTGCTATACACGTATCGCATGGGCCATCTTTGGTCCAATTCAAGGGACTGCGATTCCCCGCCAGTGTGGCTCTCCCACTGCCACCCCGGAACGGTTAATGACACTTGCTGCAAGGTGCACTTGTCGGCGAATGCGTTCGCTTAACTAACTTCGCTGAAGCGGAGTGTCTAGCTCCAGTAGCAGTGGCTCGAGGATAATTAAATTGTTATCGGAAGCTGAGGTCATAGTATTCTGAGGCTATCGTCATTAATAGGAATATTGTTATGCGTTAAAACGTACTACCACTACAAAGAGTTCACTATTCTCGTTGTCAGGCAACTTACAGCCCTCAGGAGAATGTCCAGTACAGGCAGTGCAATGGCGGCATACGCCGAGCGTGCACCGAAAGTTGATTTTAAGGACTACTTATAGCCGCAACGCACTATTACGTAAGGCATGTTGCTAGAAATAACAAATATCTGCTGTGCTGCTTAGTTAACCATCGCCATTATTATCATTTTCAAAATACACTTCCCTTTCTCGCGTACCAGTGGCAGTGCACCACAGTGACATTCGGGGGGTACAAGTGTACACTCGGCCTTAGAAACAATAAATTTTCCAGTGTGACCAGAGAAATCAGCCGCCGTTGCAGCTTAGTCAGCTACGTGAAAAGCAAAAAGAGAAGCGGGCGTTTGCTGAAGAGAACATTGGCCGCAAACCATTCTGAGAGAGAATGAGAAAAGAAAGGGGTTTTATGAAAGGTGCGAAGGGTTAAATACTCAACTATAAAGAAGAGCAAGCAGCATCGCAATTCGCCACCTCACAACCAGTGTATCAGGATTACAGGCGAGAATGTAGCGCAGTGACTGGCTGATAATAATGTCAGCATAACTTTATGAGCCTAATACATATTCAATGTATGGTGATAGAACAGGAAAGCGACCTGAACAGATCATTACGCGGGAAAGTAATAAAGGACTTAAGTTCTCCAAATTGTGGTGGCTGTGGACTTAAGCGATACGTTGTCGTTGTATACGTGTATACATGCGTGTATAAGGCTTATACACTTATTACGCATCGGTGATCAAAAGGCCTCTCTAACAGTATGCGTTTGGTTCAATTCGCCTCCAAATTCTTGGCTCACGTTTTGTGGAACACACTGTATATGCTCAACGCTTGGTGCGGACGTTGTCCACGTGTTTTACGAAGCAATAAGTGTCGAGGAGGATATAGCGCCTGTAAGAAAGACGAACAGAGCAACCAGTCGGTCGTCTTTGGACTTAAGTCAGCTAAGGAGCCTTTTATAGGTCGTCTTTCGTTCAGGGTCAGCTGTGGTGGTGCGAGAGCTCGGATTCGTATAGCATCATTCGTAAGCGCCGTAAGATTAATGTTCGAGGAGACTTCAGAAGTTTTCTGTGGAATAGGAAATGTGTTTATGGTGGGCTAGATTGTGCCAACTTTAGTGTACTTCAGCTGCAATAGGTCACTGCCGGAAAGTCCGCATTGAATTTTGCGATGCAAGACTGTGTTTCCACTTTGTACCTTGAACGCCATAATCCGTTATTGTTGGTAGCAATAATCTTGTTCTTGCTACTGTGATCAAGGCTTGTCCCCATTGCATGATTCTGTGTGTTTATAAGTGTGTTAAACGTGTGCTGTAAGAGAAGTGTTTCGTATTAAATGAAGCACTGTCTCGTGAAATCTGTCAACATCAATCCAGCAGTCTTGCAGTCTCTCAGGCAATTATGTATAATGTGTATGTTTTTTGATACAGTGCTTCGCGTTCTATTGCGATAATCCACATTATATCTAAAATTGGTTTCTGGTTATTGTATTATTATTAATTATTAAAATTTTGCAGAGTTTCATTTTTAATGCTTTTTTGCTCGGTGTATATCACATAACATACAGAAGTAGGAATGACCTGTCGCTGACAAAAAACGGTTCGTGTATTGTTCATAGGACGCCACTCATACCACTTCGCTCATAAGCATGTAGGCACCCAGCATGTAGCCAAATTTGAATAAGTTAAACTAGGCAGCTGAGTTGTTGAGTTGCTAACCATGTTGTTTAGCGCAAACAAAGTATCTGTAGTGGGAAGCCCGAAACAATGAATCATAAAGTGTGCAACCACTAATCTAATCAGCACCGCTTCATCAGCGTGCTCAAGCCTGTGTATGCATAACATCGCACTTCTGCGGCGTTTAAACGCTGTTCTATCCAGTCACGACAATGGTGTTCTTTATGATGGAGTGTTTTCTCGCTGCTTTCTTCTGAAAGCTATGACGTGACAGTGGCTAACGGAACAGTGCTGGTGACGTAGCTGACGCTAAAAGTATCAGCCTAAGTGACCATCATATAATTAAGTTCACAGTAAAACGATTGGTAGATTTAAACAAGGACACACAAAGCTTTGTATACATTAGCATTTGATGCCCCTGCGCATGCCTCACACGCAAACCGCTTGCGTACCTAGCCTTAGCTACGAAAATAGTGTATATTACCCAACGTACGATAACGCTAGTAATCGTATTCTAAAATTGTCTACTCTCACGTAACGGAAGACAGGGACAAAGCTGCGATGGGTTGAGACTTGTTGGGCGGCAGTGGTAGCGCAGCTGAAGAGTCAGTGTTCTTTTTCTTGACTGGCACACCGTTTCACAGGTGGGAGCGGGCGGCCCAGTGCCGTGCTCGTGCTACACGGCCCCTTCGAGGCGCCTCTCGTCGGACCAGAACCTGAAGATGTGCGTGGTCGAGAAGAAGTCGGCCGTGCCACTGACGGTCGAGGTGACTGAAGCCGGCTCTATCCTGCGCTGGGAGTTCCAGACCGAGAACTATGACATCGGATTCGGCGTCTTCTTCGTGCCAGACTCGATCGGCGCCGTGAACGGTGACGGCAGCGGCGACATGCAGGAGCTGGTTGCCATGCAGCGCGTTAACTGCCACCTGGTGCCCGAAGACGGCATGCTCGTCTGCAGCGCGCCCGGAAAATGTGAGAACAATAGGGTGGCACTACTGCGGCTAAGACGGGCTCGTGTAATGTTCCAGTATACTTGCCGTAGACGACTGAATTGATAGCTAAGCGAGCGACGGCCATCTTAACTCCCATTTCTATTCTTACGTAGCCACCAAAATGCAGAGCTTTGAAAAGCCAGCATCGGAGACAAAAACTATGCAGGCCATTTCGCCCTAAACAAGATGGCTGCTAAGCAGAATGCTCGGATCCCGGCGTTATGGTCGTCTGTTCACGAGTTGACACATTTGTTGGTAATCAATGCAGGCCACGTTCATTTTTTCGTAGATTTGCACACGAAATAATTTAAGGAAGTAACAATCCTGCTCGTTTGTATTACTAAAGTGGTACTCATTCAGTGCCACTTTGCGTCACTTTGTGTCACCAAATTGTGTCACTGCTAGTGACACAATTTTTCAAAGATGAGTTTGTTCTGCAACACAAATCTGTTCACAGAGCAAGGCTCTGAGCAAGTTTGATGCTCCGCAAAGGCAGACAAGACATCGTATTAGGATATTTAGGTCAATTTTACCATGACACACCTAGAGGCATCGACACTAGCTCGTTCTGGCTACAGTGCTAATTCAGGGGACTTCTCGCAGCAGCCTGGCCAGTGATGGTGATGTCAGGTACCTAAGCTTCCGAAATGGCTGCTTGCGTGTCACTGAAAACTTTGAATGGCTGCTCGTGCGTCACGAATAAGGCAGCGGTGCGGGGCGGTCGTGGAAACGTCCCGATATCTGTGTGAACCCGTGTCTAGAAGCACACGCCGTGTTGAGATAGCAGGGCACAGTTAGAACCAAAACTAGCTCTTTGAAACATACGGTGAATACTTTATCAGTGTGCAATCTCACTTAGTGGTTCCTTTTCCATAGTCTCTTGAGGGCAATACCTTTCATCTGACGCAAACAAAAAAAAACACTAGAAAAGTTTCTTGTCACTATCTTTTTCCCTTGCTCTTGTAGAAGTGAAGTAGCGTCAATATGCACAGACGTTATCCAGACGCGTTCGATTAGTCGGACGATTGGTGCTCGGTGCTCTCGTTCAAACTGTCAGTGCAGACGGTTTACGTTGATGTCCAGAAACGGAACACAGTCAATATATTGAGGCGATTTGGAGTATCTGAGAACTTGTTCGGCACGCGTTGGTGCATAACTGTGAAGGGAATGGTTGTTGCGCTGTGCTCTTTCTATTTACTCTGTCCTTTTTCTGTTTTCGTTCGATCGAATGCGCATTCATTCTCTTCGTGATTGAAAGCAACGCCGTCCCTAAAGAGCTTCAGTTAACACTGAGCAGTGTTTTTTTTTGCTTGCATAAACACTCCAATGCAAGAACGTGGAAAGAGAACAGGCGTGTCATTAGTGCCCAACACATTGACTACACGCATAAATGATACAGAAGTTTGGGAGAGCAACGGAGGTTTGAACCGGTGAATGAGTCCTTGAACAGATGTTATCGCAGTAGTGGACGCTTCGGCATGTCGGTTTGTATTCCGCATAAGAATGGAAACTTCGATTGGTATGCATTCATCATAACGGTATACTGGATAAGAATGAAGAACTTCAGTTGGTATGCATTCATTTTTGTTTGGTCAGCTCACACGGAAGAAATGTGAAGAATAAGAAGCACTGAACCGGCGCTCAATTTTTAATTCTTCGTCCTTGCACCACATGTGCTGCATCAACCAGCGATGGACTCATATTGATCGTGGCCTTGGCAAAAACAAGTTCGCTTGTCGAAATATGATAGCGTCAACCCCCATCCTTTTGTCAATGTTTTATTTCTTCAAACTGCGCCCAATAACTTCATGATTGTGTTTGGCTGTTCTTTTTGGTGCATCGTATGTGTAAAGCACCATCACAGTATAGTAGCGCTATAGACATTATAATCACTGTCTCATTTTCGTGCTGGTTACAGTAGTACTTATCCTTACATGACACATCAGCCCATTTCAGACTCCCGATGTTGCATGCTTTTTGTTATTTTATTTGGGAATAACGAAACGTGGTTCGCCTGCAAGGTCGGGCGTGAGGAGTGCTTTTACCTTCTGACAAACTCCCTAACTCGCTGGAGCAGGAAAGATAGTGGACTATAGATTTGTAACTATAGTAGGACAGATATGTCCTAAGTTTATACAGCCTCATTTCCGAACACATTAAGAAAAACATTCCTAAAGTAGCAAATAAAGCGATTTGGTGGCGAAATATGTGGTGCAACGTATGGTAAAAAAAAAGAAGTGCAAAGGGGACATGTTCTCGCGAATGCTCGTACTAAGAAACATTAGAAGTATTGCTCGCTATTCGGCTCGAAGTCTCAACTCATCCTCCTCTGACGACGGGGCTGCTTATTCTCACCCTTCGCAGATGTGTTGAAGTTCGACAACAGCTTCAGCTGGTACCGGAGCAAGAAGCTTCTCTACCACTACCAGGTGCTCCCGCCGACGCCGGCGTAATCAATGGACGGTTGCCTCAACAGCCGACTTTCCAACGGCTTATTCTTCTTCATGATTCTCGTTTTTTTTCCCTCTCGTTTCTTTCCTTCGTGTGTATTTTCGTGCTCGCGTCGGTTGACGTCGGCAAAACTAATGTTCCGTAACTCCATCCAGCAGTTAACAATTGATAGCTTGCACATGACGTCAGGGACGCTGCTTCTTAATGTACCAGTGCTACCAACACGGGCACTGTAATGACGTCTATATGACGCATTAATCTGTTCAAACGTCGCAAAGATGCGGCCGGAACATTATTGGTCTCTGATCCTGAATAACGACAGAGTTACACGTCATGTGATGTCAGTCGACCTTAATGCGTGGCCACAAACCTAGCCTACCATCATACTGGTGCAACAACATGGCGGCTTCGGTGACGTCAGGGCAATCCATCAATAAGGCGGCAGAAGGCGATGAAGGCAGGCTGTGAATATGAGCTTTTAACTCTTTGTATAAGTTTTAGCTGTTTTAGAACACGGCTACTGCGCTTACAGCACGAGAATAAAAAGAGTTAGCGTTAAAAACACTAACAAGCATCGAGTGGATGCAGGTATATAGGCGAAATCTTAAACTGTCGATATAGTTAGCGTCTTGCGCATGCAAGGAAGTAACTGAGCGGAAATTACTTAGGAAGCTTGTAAGCTATAACAGGGTCTTTCCGGCTATATCTATAGATGGTTAGTTCAAGGTCTAGTGTTTTCTCGTAGCGACATGTTTTTTTAGCCTTAAGTTTGTCAAGCGTCAGAAAAAAAAACGGTTTCGTGCATAGTTTAGTCCACCCGTTCTTTACAGTGGCACAGCACATCGCAGCAACTTCGAATAACCATATAAACTGCGGAAGAGCATGAGGTTTGGAAATTCAGAAGTTATATTTTTAAGGGCATGAGTTTGGGAAGATTTCGAACATTTACAAACCATCATATTTTTATTATATGTTTAATTGAGTGATGACATACTTCATTTGGAGTGACGATACTAACTTCGTGTTTCTTTTTTCTGGCACAAAATAAGAACATTCTTCAGTAGGGATGTCGACGTAGATTTTACTGGTTGATTCGGAACAGTCTACGCTATTATTACTGAAAAAAAGAGAAGTTGTGGTTGTCTATTTATTCACGCGACTTTATATGTTTCAATGTTATTGGTGACAAAGTGTTAGTCTAATCTACCAGAAAATAGAAACTTGCAATGCCGAGTCTTCAGCTATCCAAACAAGCACCAGACTTTATGCGTGTGATAATTTTTTTAAAATATCTTCATCCGAATCAGCCAGTGCAACTTTCTGAAAGATTTCAAGTCTGTTCGCTCCTTGCCACATCCAGAATTTTCTCGCGGATGTTAGAAATACCTGCCTTCGTATGAACCCCTCCTGTCCCCCCCCCCCCTTTTTTTTTCACCCTACAAATGAGTTCTCATACTTTCACTATTGCTAGAGCAACATTCCAAGTTACGAGGAGCAGTTCCATGTTCCATTCTTACAAGGTATTTTGAGAGATCTAGTCCCTAGGTGTTATAGTGCTGTTGTGTTAATTATAAACAATGTTGTATTGCCGCGCTGTTGGTTGTAATCTTATGGCTACAGCTTACCTTTAAATCTTTACGCCCGTCTCGATTACTGTCATTTTTTGCCGTGGTACAGTGCTTTTCGACTGACTAGCCCAGCTAGGAAAGTCTTTTCGCATCACATGAAGTTGGAATTTTGTGTTGCCTGGTTTTCTTAGTTGCTGTTTGTGGTGTCTTCAAACCTTCCCTTCTTTCATGGTGTACCTATTGTTCTAACTTAGACGTGATGACCCGCTTCCAAATTTGGATTGGTCTTGCACGTAAGGAATGCAAGAGTTGTTCTTTCTGAAAAGCCGAGACTTTATATTAGTGAGCTGAAAAAAACAATGTGGGATTCATGGAGCCTGCGGGTGTTTCGGCGTCACTTTTGGCTTGATTTCGTTCTCCAGTCTGAGCATGTATCAACAAAAAATACCTTCCAAGTTTTACGGCGGAGAAATGAGCATTGCCTAATTAACTCTGTTATGGGGGGAATCGATCAAGCAGCCGTCACCTTTGCTTTCACAAAAGAGACAAAATTTTCGCTGCACACATGGCCGCCAGAATCACATGGGCGAGAATAGTATAACACGTGATCACTACTCACTTGAGAAGTTTAGCCTTGAATCATGTAATTACGTATTTAAAGGCCTCTGGCCTTCTCCATCTTTTGTGATTTTACTTCCCAATTGTGATTTGTGCATAGAAACATTAATAACTAAGACCATGACACGGTATCTGGATAAATTGCTGGGATATTGGAAGGCAGAGGTAACTATGAAACGAAAAACACGTGTTTATTTGTTTAATTTTATTGGCTTTGGGCCACGAGAGAGAAAAACGAAAGCAGTCGTCGTTCCTGACTGAACGCAGGTGCCATTCAAGGCGCTGGCAAGAGGTGCAGTGCTTTGCAAAGGTCCATCCACACACCAGGTCAAATTCGACCGAACGAGTGCACCGCTCGAAGTGTTATCACAAGAAGTGTGAAACCACAGGCGATATGTCGAAGATAAAAAAGGGAACAAAAGAATCTGCGCGTTCCAAGTTGGCGAGATAACATCCCATGTTTGTCTATGTTTTTTTCTTTGTTTACTTACACCCCCCACCACAGAAACGTAGGTTGCCCTCCGGATGCACTCTATCCGCGGACTACAATGGTCCATCGAATAAGCGTGGTACGCAAATACCCTAAAGCAACCGTCACTTCGTGAGGAAATGGATGGTGCGTGGCCTGTGATTATACTCAATTATTGGCAACGAATCGCACAACTGCTCGTACGGGTGCGTGTGCAAGGGTGCGAAGTACCGATTGCGTGCCACGGCGTTCGCTAAAACGCGCAACCAGGTTTATTTTTTTTTGTTCTTTTTTTTTGCCTGCCGGATCACGTTCGTTTTCGGTGATGCCGTCGTTTGATACGTTTGTCCAACTTTCCACTTATTTCAAGCGTTCAATCTACTGGGCGTCTGTGTAGCGTGAATCTTAGAAGCGAATTTACGCGCGTTCACTGTATCACGAATGGTACTTTTTCTCTCTCTCTCTCTCTTCTTCAAACTATACGATTGCTTTTCAGGCTTCGCAATAATTAAAGCTAGAATTTACCAAACAAGCATGATTTTACAGTATTTCAGCCTGTATGTTGTGGAATATACACATCTATCTGCAGTTTCCTGCATTCTCTTTCCTTTCTTTTTTTTTCTATTTGTGTCGCTGCACATTTCTTCAGCTCGGTGTGCGACGTCGTGAGTCCTCCGACTTCTTTTTGTGAATACTTGCTTGCCAGCAAATATGTTTCTTTGCTAAAGAGACACGTAAACTCTATGTTACGTTTCTCTCGTCTGCGAGTCGTGGAAAACCACAAAGAGTTCCTGTGACCCTGCAAAGAAAGCCTTTTACAAAAAAGTAATACGCAGTCTATTTTTTTTCCCTAAAAGTGTAACTTTTTTACCGCGCACATTTGCGGTGATTTCAGGCAGGTGCAGTCACTGTTGGCTATCCCTTGACCGTAACCTTGAAAATACAGCTGTTGTGAATCAGACAGGTAATCCATCCGAAGGAACGCCAGGACGATTGTGCGCGGTGATACGCGTCAAGCGTATTCATGTATTTGTTCCTTGTCTTTTTGTATGTGTTTGGTGTCGCCTTTCCGCGTTAACATGCTTTAAATGTAGCATTGCTCGCGTTGTGACAATAACGATTGTATTTGGATATGTTCGTACACGTGATTCGGATACAGGGAGTATCCTGTAATGCTAAAGGTATCTGTGTAATCACCAGGCTTCCCATCAAGATGGCATTCATTGTGAGTGTTGCGAACATCTGTCTCGTAAGCCCACGTCTGTGACGGCAATCTTAAGGATTGATCATCAAAATAAAACAAAACAAAACATTGTGAGAACTGCCAGGGCCCAAGTGTTACAGATCTTCTTTTCTTTAACGTAAGAATAAGGTCTCGGGACGTGGTGATATATTAAGCAATGCATGAATTAAAGAAGTCGTGAACAATGTGAAATTGCGAGACACGAAGTATCACTCGGATCCTTTCGTTACGTAAGAAACTCAATCTACCAAAAACCGTTTGTCTGCGTGCTATGATGTTTTCTTAAGATGAGCAAATTGTCATTATTGCGAAGATGATTTGCTAGTTCCGCGATAAAAAGGCCATTGAGCTCCGTTCAACGTTAATTTAGTAATGAGTACCTCGTGGCAAAAGGCTGAAGACTCTCAAGTGACCGCTGCTCATTGAGTGCTGTACGATGGGAGTCGCTATTAAAATAGTCGATACGTCAACAGCGTGAAAAAAGGCAGAAGGGGGATGAGTTGTTGCATTTTCTTGTTTATTGGAGCATTATCATTTCTACTGTAAGCTCACTATATACTGAATGAGCATGTGGGCTCAATCAGGGAATGGCTTTTAAGGTTTTTTGACGGGAAACTTTCCTGGCACTGCGCATTGACACGGATATCGGCTGATTAGACATTTTTCGTACCCATCCCTTCATTTAGGCCTCGTGATGTCGTACTCTGCTTGGTGTTTCGCTGAGGTGTTTGCTTTGAAAATTTTACGCAAATGTTTCGTCTGGTGTTTTAAAAAGTTCGTTAGGCTTTTTATTGTTTGTTGATGGAGATTCTTCTTCAATGTTATAAACGTGCAGTTCAGTGACGTCACATCTATTTCCTCGTGACATTGACTTCAGTGATGTTTCGACTACGTCGGTATCTGTAATGTGATATAACCGCTTATGCATGTAGAAGTAGCCTCGAAGGAAAGAAGGTAGTGTGAACGTGTTCAGTCGAGAATGCCCTGGCCAGGCACCGGTGCTACACTGTTGCAATCACAGATTTATAGCCCAGTGCATTTCGCACTGCGGCGATAATGATTTTAAGTCGCTGCCTTTTTGAAGGAATCGCCGAGACGTTTCATAATATGGGGGCATCCAGATACCAATCAAAGGATTTCCCGTTTGTTCCCATATAGAGACTACAGTGGCAAAACAGCGAAATGCGGAAGTGTTCTTACGTCATTATTTATAAACATTCATTATTTGTACAAACGATGATGTCAATCGGAATAGGTAATGAAAGATGAGTGCATGTAAATGCTCACATTTTCAAAAACTGTGTACTTTACTTTATCAGCCATCGACCGCTGTTGCTTAATGGCAAGCAAGCAAGGAAACTAGCTAATTCATGGAAAGACTTTTGAAAGTTGCTTCATGCGTCTTCTATTGAAGTCATTCTCAGAGAGATAGAGAGAAAGACAGAGAAAAGCGAATGCGAAAGGCGGAGATGCTAACCACCTCCATCCGGATAAGTTAAACAAGGACATGCCTACGTGACTACACGAATCTTGAAGAGGAGAGATGCGAAACAGCAAGGATAACATAGAAAAATATAAATGTAAAGAACAGCAAAGAGGCAGGTGATGGAAACAAGCTCATAACGAATACGAGTTGAAATGTTCGTAGGATTTCGGGAAGTGTTGTCGACATTAGGACGTCCAACCCAAACCGAATGATGGATGATCACCCGAAGAGTCTGCGTGTTAAACAATAGCTCGAAGTTCAATGTTGTAACAAAACTTCCGAGAATAAAAGCGAAAAAAAAGCGATACTGGTCTGTAGCCACTCTCTTTCTTTTTTCTTCTGAGAGTTAACGGCCAGAACTTCGTATACGTACACGATGCTCTAAATCATACGCGCAATTATGTCGCTATGCACTGGTGACTGTGTCGGGTGCTCCCTCGACTCTTCACGCCACAAATTTGGCATGAAGCCCGCGAGCAAGTTTGAAAGCCTTGTGGTAGAGTGGC